TAATCTTGAGGCTTTTCAGCTGCGAGGATAACCAACCAGGACAGATTTTGGATGAATCTCATAAAAAAAAGGGAAGAGATGGGGGGGAAAAAATAACAGATTCCTTCCAAAACTGGTTATTGTTGAAAATACCAGATAACAGTGGAGAAGTCACCCACACACTCATGAAATCAGGCCAGTAAAAATAGGGCTACATTCTTTCCAGCAACATAACAGTCCTTTTGTTAACGAGCGCATCAAATTTTGCAATGAAGGAAGCAATGGGAGTTTTAAAACCAGGATGTTACACAGTTGAATGTCAACTGGATTACACCGTGCATTGAGCTAGGGGTTCATCAAAAGGACACGAAAATAGGACATTCCCCACCTTGGCCGCCTGCACGTTGCTTGGAGAGGCAACACAATGGTGAGACACATGTTGAATGAGACTGTGCTGAGGCACCAGGCGCTGGAGGGAATCTCAAAAGGATGCGAGCGTCCCCAATACATTTTACACTGAATATATCCATCCACCCCTCCGAACTTTGGGGCTGATTTTGAGTCTTCAGTCTGTAGCCCATCGTGCTGACCATGCCCGGCAGGCTCCCTCTGTGTCTTTGATCTCTTTGAAATGTTGATTAGACCAGTCTTGGCAATGAGCTAACTGTTAGTTTTCTGTTAATAATCATTAATTTTCTGTTAATAATACACCAGTCAGAGGTTACTACATTATGTGCACTCTCCCATGCCAGCTAAAGGCCAGCAACTTCCTCAGCGCATCTGGAGTGGTGTTCTCGCATCTTCTTGTACCAGCTCCTCCAAGCTTTCCATGGGTCGTCCCCTACTTGCATCACAACATCCACGTCCGTTGTGGGCACGCGTGGGAGAACCTCAGACACGACCAGGACTGGTTTCTCCGTGGATGTAAATGGACGTTGCTTCACTGGCTGCAGTGCCGTGATGCTGATTTAGGCTAGAACTAGGAACAAAAACTCATTTTAAAAAAAATCTGCATGTTAAAACAGGGGTGCTGAAAGAGTTTGGGATAGAACTGACAAATTGTGGAGAAATTGGAGAGAATCCAGCAGACGGCAATGAAAACGGTTGTGGGGCTGGGGGACAGGACTGGTGAGGAGAGGCTGAGGGATCTGGTCTTATTTAGTCTAGAGAAGAGAAGACCGAGGGGGATTGAATAGCAGCCTTCACCTCCCTGCAGGGGGGCTGCAAAGAGGATGGAGCTGGGCTGTTCTCAGTGGGGGCAGATGGCAGGACAAGGAGCAATGGGCTCAAGCTGCAGCAAGGGAAGTTGAGGTTGGATATTAGGGACAATCTTTCTCACTAGGAGGGTGGTGAAGCACTGGAACGGGTTACCCGGAAAGGTGGTGGGAATCTCCATCCTTGGAAGTGTTTAAGACCCGGGTAGACAAAGCCTTGGCTGGGATGCTGTAGTTGGGGCTGGTCCTGCTTGGAGCAGGGGTTGGACTACATGTGACCTCCCGAGGTCCCTTCCAGCCCTCATTGTCTAGGATTTTGTGACAGCCCCAGTTTTTGAGCAGCTCCTAGAAGAATGCTTTACTCTAGACGATCGTAGACATGGAAGTTAACATATAGTGAGGCTTGATGCGAGGACTTTAATAAAAGACAGGAAGCACAAGTTTTAGCATTGTCACCTTCAGCAGCACCCCTTTAAAAATCGAAGCACGAGGCTTTTCATTACCAAATCCAGGCCGTGGCTATTTGACATGCCTGAGCAATACCTGTTCACACAAGTATTTTTTGCGCTCTCCAAACTCCGGAGCCAAATCCTTTCAGAATTGTTGTTTTGTTTAAAAAAAGAAATCAATCAATCGAATCAATCGCTCTCAAATTGTTCCAGTCTAGCACTCGCCAGGGGGAAGTGCATTGGAGAAGAGAGATCCTTGGCCAGGGGAGGGGAACTGGCTGTAAGAATAAGTTGCCAGGTGCCAAGGAGAACTTCTGGCACTAATTCATCAAGAAACTTGACTTGTTTCAGCCTGTTTGAAGAAACCCCATGACCACCACCTGTAGCAGCAAACCTTGTCATCTCACATCACCTGAATGCTTCTTGCTTCATGACCTAACCGCCTCTGCAGAGAGAAGAGAGGGATCACACCATATGCAAAAGCTGCATGATCTCCGCTTTGGTTAGGACCAGTGCAATCCTAGCCCTAAGGAAGGCTGCAGTCCAGTCCCCTCCCCTCACTCTCCAACCAGTATTTCCACCTGGCGGGGACTATTAGGAAGCGCAAAATCTGCAGATGAATGGGAGGAAAGAAGGGCTCAGTTTTGAGTCCCAAGTGGCTGCTTGCACCTGTGGGCAGCCTTGATCAGCATAAGAGGAAGAGTCTATGGTAGTGGTGAGGAGAGGAAGGCTTATTTTAAGGATGAGAGGAAAGACTGACTTTTCACCCTACTGAAGGGGATTAAGGGGGGGGTGTCTCGAACCCACAAGTAGACCGTAAGTCTCTATCAAGACAAATCATAGCAACCAGCTCTCAGCACGGCCAGATGACCACCAAGAGGCAGGCTGATGGGATGGGAACTCCTGGTAGTGCTCATTTTCCAGAGGGGCAGCTGCAAGTATTTGAGTCTTGTGGTCAAGCTTTTTGGGCATCTCAAGAATCTCCAGTAAAACTTCTGGAACCAAAAGCTTAAGCGTTCAACTTCTGTCAAATGGATAAACTGCAGAGTTTTGTACAGACTGTGTACTCCAATCTGTAGTACACAAACTACAGGTGACTAGAGGCAAAGTCTTAGAAAGGGAACAGTCACCAGCGACCTATTCTTCACGTGTGTGTCCAAAGTCACACATTTCCCTTGCGGTAGCAGACGTTAGCAGAGACAGGAACCCAGAGGCATAGCGTACCTTGAAGTGTTAGGGGCAGATGTGCGGCAGGCTTAGAAGCACCCAAGAATGGCTTGTCAACAACTTGGCTTTAATGGGATGCATCGCCAACTCTGCGGGTATCTGGGAATCTCAGGAGAGGTTTATCCTCTCCATTCCCCATATGAAAAAGTGAGTTGAAATGGAAGACGCACATCATGGTGCACAGAGCACTAGGCTGGGAGTCAGGAGACCTGGGCTCTGCCGCTGACTTGCAGTATGAGCTTGGACACGATGCTCCCTCTCTCCAGCCTCATTTTGGAGCATAGCTCCTGCGGGCCAGGCTCATTTCGAGTGGCACGTGCTGCTTCTGCATGCTCTGCTCTTTTTTTGCATGGGTATTTTGGACCCCTGGATATCCAGGGGTCAACCCCCCCACACTGCTCCCTTACAGCATGGAAAACAGCTGAATGTGCGGTACATGGCACTGCAGACATGCCTGCAGTCATCTGGACACAGCCCTTGTGTCTTTTTCCACTGGCAGCAACCGTGTGTCTATTTAAGCTGCAAGCTCCCTGCAGCAAGGACTGTCTGCTACTACACCTTTGTACAGCCCCTAGCACAAACATGGATAAATACTGATCACTAAATAGTTTTACAGGTGACTCGAAAGAGGCTGTTGGGCAGCACCGGTGCAAAAGGGGAGGCTGGTGCCAGGGTGTTTAAAAACCACTTGCTTAGCTGGCTGTACGGTGTCCCAAGAAGGTGGGAATACAAAACAGACCCGATAGATAGCAGGAAGCCCAGAGGGAACAGACATCCGCTGACAACCTTCTTTCCCTTTCTTTCCTCCCCAAACCGATCTCTGGTTATGGCCAGTTGGTTAAACTGGTCCAAAAGAAGCAAAGCAGGACCTCCAAGTGTACCTACACGGTGTCTGTAGAGAGGGGTACTCTCTTACATGGCTGCGTCGGTTTAGATGCTACTAACGCAGTATAATACGTGGAGCCCTCTGGGGTCTGCTCACCCCCAGGCCTGTTGGTAGAAGCCTTGTTCTCTGCAAACAGACCTCATGTGCCAAAGTTACCAGGAAAAAGCCGAACGCTTAAAACCATACCAAAGGCTGTTGAAGGAACCAGCATCAACTCAGAGGAGGCCTGGTGATGGGCACCTCGTGGGAAGCGAGAGCTGTCCTACCCTGGTGTGTGAAGAGCCAAATGCCGGGGGCCTTTCCAATACCACCGTGACTCTCCCACTCACTGCATCCAACTCACGGCTGCCAAGGCAGAAGCATTTCAAATAAAACCACCCCCAATTTGAAGGCAGACCCACTGCAGCTCTACAGTTACCCTCTACTGCCAGGCAAGATGCAGTAACGCCCTGGAGGCTGAACCTGCTTGTGTAATAAGTGCAGCCTAGTAAAAAATCTACTCATCCACGCCCTCAGTGCAATTTTAGCAGGGTGGTAAAATCTCTGGACGTACAACAATGCAAGTACATCACTGCAGCGGCGGGGGGGGAGCTCAGATAAGGGATTGCTACATGGACAGAAAACAAGCGACCCCCGTGTTCGAGAGTGCAACCCCTCACATCAATGATGTGATTCTTGCACGACTGCTGGAAGTTGCGTCAATGCCACACACCTTTAAAAGCAGTGATGGGGGGGGGGGGGGGGGGGGGGGAAAAGAA